AGGCATGGCAAGGACACGGCTGCAGTTCACGCTGTACTGCAGAGGGCAGAGCAAAGAGGCTCTGAGGTAAGAGGCAACACGTTGATGGGGCAAAATGAGGGGGGGATTTGATTTGGTTGGTGTAAACTGGAGACTGGGAGAGTCCTGTGGAGGACTGGAGCAGCAGGGATGGTTTGCTGCAGATATGGTTTGTCTGTGCGTGGAAGCAGGCATGAAGCCAGGTGTGTGCCAGGCTGCATGGAGCACTAACAGAGGAGGATGTGGACATTCTTACCTCTCCATATGAGTTCTGATTGGCCCCGACTGCACTTTGGATGTCATCAATGTCTGAGGCCGGCCCAGCCACAAGGGATGTGCCAGTGTCAATGATGGCTTGGCAGCCACTGCTGCATGCAATCTCCTGCTTGTTCACGATGATGCTGGCAGGAGGGAAGGAAGAAGAGGCAAGGCCTTGCATCCTGGTGATGCTTTCAAACACAGCCTCAAGGGAACGGGCTTAGTGCAAGAGAAGAACCAGTGGAGGAGAAGCATCCCCACATCAGGGAATCACCAAATCACGGTGGGGTTTGGTCCCTTGGCCTCCTGCACCGTGTTGTGTTAAGCCAGCAGAAAGCCTACGAGGTTCATGGGTCTCTCGAGAAACAACGGTTAGAAATGAACATACACCAGCAGTCATTTCGTTACCTGTCCATGGAGATCTGCCAGTAACCTTGGTAAGAGACAGGAATCCAGTTGATGGAGCCAGTGAAATAGGAATCATCAATTCCCCCAAAGATGACCATGCTCCCCATTGTCTCGCTGGATGACACATGAAAGAAAAGCACCAAAGGGTTTGCCAGGGCTGTCACCTTAAAACAAGGGGCTGTGAGTGCCGTGGATCAGATGCTGTCTGTGACACCACGATCACATTCTCATTGCTGGGCACCAGCAGGGCCGTGGCACAACAGCAGCGTGCTCCCCTGTCCCTATCCATCACGACACACAGACAGCACCATGTAGCATCAGTGGCAGTGGAGGAGCTGGGATGCCCAGCAAGTGCAATGATCTGAACCAAACCCACTCACTGCCTCCCCCAGCCCTCAGGACTGACGCTTCTTACCGGGATAGATAGACTGAGAAGAGGTTCTGCTCCAGCAAGCTCTCATTCACCATGTTATCAAAGACTGGAGTGATTCCATCAGCAGCTAAACTTGGGTAGCCCAAGCCCAAGATCCCATCAAATTTGACATGGACAAAGAATTGGCCAGGCTCGGAGGTACTCAAGCCAAAGAGCTGGTTGGTGTCCATCAGTGATGCAACCTAGGGACGGGGACAACACTGTTAGCTCTGGGACATTGCAACACAGGTGGGAATTGGGTGGAGAAGGCACAGAAGAAGCCTCTGAGATGCCATCGTGACACTTACAGTGACGGTGTCGCAGCCCACGGTGCCCTCCATGTCACCAGTGCCATAGTGAATGGACAGGTTCTGCCCCGTGCTTTTGTAGGTGGAGGACTGCGATGGGTTAAACATCTGATGGCTTTCTAGAAGGTAAGTGGGAAACCAAAAATGAAGATTTTCAGCAAGGCTGAGCCATAAGGATAGCGTGGGAGTCGGAACCCTGCTGAATTGCTGTTTAGACCTGCCATTTATTACCCTGCTGCAGGAACAATTTAGCTGTGAGCATTTGCTATACATCTCTACTGCATCCTAATGCCAGGGATCTGTAGGATAACCCATCACTCCTTTGAGGTAGATAGGGAAACTGAGGCAACACACACAGCCCCATGGAGTAGAACCCCATGGAGCAGCAGCTCCTACACCCCAAACACTCATCCCGTCAGCATGTTGTGCAGATCCAACGGGACCCAGAGCCTCACTCTGCTGCCCTCCAATCTGTGAGCAGCGTCACCCCAAAATCTGGGTTGATCCTGCAGCTGTAAGCCCAGGACGTGTTGCCCTGCCAAAATAGGGAGTCCTGCCCACTGTTACTTACGGCAAGCTGGGCTGGTGCAGGAGACAGAGGGAACCCAGAGGTTGGAGGAGCCGGTGTCAAAGACCACAGTGAAGTCCTGCGGTGGGGTGCCAATGGAGATGGTCCCATAGTATTCCATCTATGGGACAGGATCAAGAGATGCTTTTAGGGCATAATTGGCCATGGATCTGCTCCAGGCTCACAGACTTCTGTGCATGCATGGGAACACTCAGCTTGCAGCACAGCTGCTGGATGGGAAGAGGTGAAAGATATCAACTTCTGGGAGAAACCCTTCAGGATTTGGTCCACGCACGGCACAGTCACAGGGATGAGCGTGACACAAACCACCCCTGGACTTCCCTGTTGTGGGTCAAAGCCAGCACTCACGTCCAGGGTGTTCAGCAGGGGCTCGGTGACCACAGTGAGAACATCAGGAAAAGCATGCGGGAATTTGGTGCCGACGTCGTAGTGGTGATGCTGGAGGAAGCGGTGCAGCAAGCCCTTCTCCCGGAGGATCTCTCTCAGCTTCTTCCCCCTCTCCAAGGGCAGCCTGGAAAAAGAAAAACAGAGTGAGCCAGGAGCTGGCTGCTTGCAGCAGCATCCGGCAGTGCCTGTATCAGTGCAGAGCGATGCTGCAGGGACTCACCTGGTGATGCCATCGGAGAGAGCAAGGACCACACACAGGAGCACCAGGAATTGCATTGTGCCAAGGATGCAGGGTTGCAAGGAGAAATGCCCCGTGGCTTAAATAACCCCAGTCCTCCCCAGCCGTGGGGCCAAGGGCACGCTCAGAGCCGTCCCCACCTGTGGGCACCCAGCCAAGGTACCCCGGTGACACCCAGGTGCTGGCACCCATGGCAAACAACACCCAACTTCCACACGTCACCAGGGGCGTGGGGACAGCAAGGTGCTCCCGCTCTGCCCCCATCCTTTAACACCCCAAATCCTTCATCCCCACCAGACTGTGGGCACCAAATTTTGGAGTCGCTTTCCATTTGGGCACCTGAAGCACACGCAGCACTGGGACCCCAGCTTTGTGCAAACTCCCCCCCCCCCCCAACTACAGAGGGTCTGTCCCAGGTCGGAATGGGGAAGGGGGCCCCTCAGTGTGGGGACATGGGTCTGAGGGCTGCCTGCACGTCCTGGCCTGCCGTTATCTGCAAAACCAATTAGTTAAGTGGGATGCAAACAGCCCATGGGGAAGGTGACCCCCGCAGCATGCCCACCCCTCTCCATGTGCTGTGTGCCCAGCGATACGGAGACCATTAACCCAAGATTAAACACCTTAATGAGCACCTTGCTATCAGCAGCGCTGCTAATTGCAACAGGCATCAGCTTGCACTGCTCACTGGGGGCTTGGCTGGGGCAGGGGGATGTAAGGAGCCCCCTATCAGCTCCTGTTTGAGCCCCCCCAGGTCCCAAAAGCCAGAGGCAGCCACCAGCATCACGGTAGGGGTTGGGTTTCTCTGATGATAGCGGAGCAAAGCTGACAGACCCCTTTTGTCTCCGTTGTTTGAGTCCCCTATCGCAGTTTCCACTGTTTGGCCTTGAAGTGATGCTGCGCTTCCCCCCGCTGCAAGGTGAGCAGCTTTCTGCAGCGGGCCCCGATCTTGGCATTGGGTAAAGCAGGGATTCATGATGATTTCTTCACCTGCGTAATGGGAAGCAGCTGGAATTGTTCTGTTGATCTGGACAGCGGTGGGAACGGGCAGGGCTGGATGAACCAGCAACACGTGCGTGCTGCAGGGTTGCGTCCAGCATCCCCCTCAAACACAAGCAACGCCCATTCCCATCAGATCAGACCCACCAGGACACAAGGAATCACAGAATCATAGAATAGTTGGGCTGGAGGGGACTTCAAAGACCTTCTAGTTCCAAGCACCAGCCATTGGAAGAGCTGCCAACCACTAAACCAGGCATTAGAACAGGTTGCCCGGGGCCCAATCCAACCCAGCCATGGACACCTCCAGGAAAGCCCATTCCCATCTGCTCAGTCCCACCAGGACAAAGGAAGGCCCATTCCCATCTTCCCATCCCCGTCACCACCCCCCGAGTAAAGGACTTTCTCCTTATATCTGATCCCCTCCAAACCAATGAGATACATGAGGTTTGTTTCTTAGCCAAGCTGCTCATGGAGATAAGGATTTATTTTGATGCAGATTAAAAGCAACAACAACAAACCACACAACGAAATAAAATCAACCCAGGCATTGCAATGTTTTATTTTCACCCAAAATACAACATTTCACTGGGGGAGACAGAAGGGTGGGGAAGCTTTCTCCCAGTCTTGTTGATTTTACATTCTCCATCAACACAGCCATCCAGTGGGCATCCTTAGAAACAGAAACAGTTACTACAATAGCACCAAACCTGGTAAAAATGCACCTTAAAGAGGAGGAGGGGGGACAGAGCACTTCCATGCCCCAAGGCCAGCTTTGCCTTCAAGCACTGCTGCTGCTTTAAGGGATGCATTGTCCTCTCAAATTTGACCACCAGAAATAGAAGCTGACATAGAAAACTCCCCACATCCCACAGACCCCCGTTGGGCAGCAGACAGATCCACTCCCCCCCCCCCCCCCAAATAAACACGGCATCGCATGATGCTTTGCACCAGAGCTTGAACACCTGGGAAAACCCAACCCCTAATTAGCCGAGCTAATTGGTAGATGTTTCTCTTAATTGCAGGTTGGATGAGAAAGTTCACTCCTCCCAAATTTCATCAGGAAAAGAAAGGATGGAGGAAATCTGGCTGACAGCATCCACTGCATGCAGGCTATGCTCCATGAAAGGGATTTTGGAGGTCAAAGAGATTTGCTGTCCTCCATCTGCCCTGAGGGCACAGCTTTGCTAAGCAATGTGCCAGAGCAGCTTTGCTTGACCGTGCCTCAGTTTCCCCATGCACATGGCTTGTAGCAATGCTCGGAAAAGTGCTTGTAGGGTTGTCTGGGGGGGGAAAGGAGGGGGGATACAGTGCACTGAGCAAAGAGAGGGGTGAGAAATGGGCGCTGGGAGCTGCAGGCTGGGATGAAACTCGCAGCTCCATCACCTAAAAGTCGAAGTTCTTGAAGTCGAGCGAGCAGCGATAGCGGCCATCGAGGAACCTGGAGCAGCTGAAGTTGGGCAAACAGGGGCAGGTGTGATGCTGGCGCTTCCCCAGGAATGGGACCTGCAGAGAGAAATGCGAGACAGAATGCAGAAACCCCAACCCAACCTTAACCCAAATCCTGAACGCAACCGCGACTGAACCCTAAGCCTAACCCAACCCTACACCCTGACCCCGCGCCAGCCCTCGGGCTGCAAGCGAGTGAAAAACAATCAGGCAGGACCAAAGCCCTGGGAATTTCCCTCTGCTTCTTCTCAGCTGTTTCGTGGCAATACCTCTGAAATGAATTTCTGATCCCTCCGCTTTTGTTCCCTCCTCAGAAGAAGGAATGGGATCATTAAATCTTTCGCAATCGATCTGTGGGCACAGAGAAGGAGCCCCCCGGGGGCCGGGTGTCTGCAGTTGGAAGAGGGATGGCAGTTTGGGATAATCCGAACATGTCGGGGCTTCTCTTCGGATGGAGGCTCTGAGGTATTAACGAGGCGTCTCCCCGTTTGGCAGCGCATTTACAAATCAATTCGGAGCAGTTTGCTTTAAATGAATGTGTCGGGCTGCTCAGCCCCTGCTCCCAAGGCACCGTATGGGTTTAGGGCGGTGGGGACAGGCAGAAAACACCGTATGGGATGACAGCGCTGCACCGTGCCTCCCTGCAGACCCCCATAGCTTCATCCCAACCTGTCCCATCCCCTCTCCACGCCGCAGGATGCACTGAGATTCCCTCCTGTGCACTGAGCTCATTTTCCCACCCAGTGCTTGGACCCCCACCCTCGGGACCCCCAGGTACCTTGTGGCTGAAGGGATGGCACTCGTCCCCCTCCTGCCCCAGCGGGGTGCACATCCTCAGACCCCGCAGCCAGAGGCTGACAGCACAGCACGTCCCGCTGCCGCACTGCGGGTCCCGCTCGCAGGCCTGGGGAAAAGCAATGGGGTCAGCCTGCCTGCCCCCCACAACCCTGGTCACCCCCTCTAGGTCAGGGGGAGCAGCCAAGGAAGGTAAGGGATGCTCAGAGCCCATTCTTTCTGGGGTGGGATGGGAGGTTTGTGGCGCAGCCTGGATTTGGGGTGGGTTGCAGGATGAAGGTCCAATGTGCTTGCAGAAAAGGAGCGATGTGTAGGGGAGAAGCTTGCAGCTCAAACCCCAAAAGCAATCCAGTTCTCCCCAAGCACCCAAAAACCCTCTTAGCCCCCAAATAATGCTAAAAACCAATGACAGACCACAGCTTGGCTGCCCTTGCCCTGCTCCCAGCCTAATTCAGGATCATTCTCCCCATCAAGCTATCTTTCTCCCCAGCTGGAAAAAAAACCCCATTTCCCTGCATGGGTCCAATGCTTAGAGGAGAAACAGGGAGAAGCTGCACTGCTGTGGGATGACTTCACACTCACGTGTGCTCAGAGCAGCACGAGAAGAAGGAGCAGAATTGATAGGGAACAGCACCAACACATTGCAAAACCAAGCAGAAAATGACCCAAAGCAAACAGGGAAAGGCAATGCTGGAGTTCAAGCACCTCGTGTTTGTCTTCTCAGCGCAAACAGGGAGGGTGGGAGAGGCAGGCAGTTGGGTTTGCACCAAACGTGACTTTGCACCGTGCAGGTGGGAGACCGTAGGGCAAGTTCAAAGCATGCTGAGCTCAGGGCAGCAAATTCAGCCCCCCCTTTGCACAGATGAAGCAAAACACAGCGGTACCCAACACAAATCAAACACCAACGCACTCCAGAGAGCAAGAGAAGCAGCTGAGCACCACTGGCGCCCTATTTCCCCCCCAAAAAAACCCATAAAATGACCCAAAATGCCAAGTGCCAGTGTGCTGAGGCTGCACTTACCCCTGTGATGACAGCTCCATGGTGTGAGGGCAGCAGCAGCAGCAGGCAGAGGGTCTGCAGCAGCCGTCGCATGGTGCCGTCTGCCCGCGCCGCCCGCGCCCCTATATACCTATATATATATATACCCCCTGCCCTCCCCTCCAGCCTGGCTGGCTTGTTGGGTTTTTTTCCCCTCCCGACGAGCTCAGAGCAAGCAGATGAGACCTGCATCGCTAATAGTAGGCAAGAAATATTCTTTTCCCACCGAGGAAGGGGGGCGGAATACTCATGGAGCAGCCATCCCGCCCCCATTCATTTCCCTGGGTTATTGCTCAGCTCAGCTAACACAGCTGGATTTCCCAGGCATGTGCATATTTATCCCTGACAGGTGGAGCTGAGAATCAACTCAAGAATTTGCAGTTATGGAGCTAAAAGAAAATGGAAAGAAAGGTCCGTCCTGGGTGGTAAAGCACAGAATGCAATGGCGTGGCCCCTCCCATAGAAAGACAAACTGGGTTGTGGAGAATGAAATAAGGAGCAAATCTATTGTTTGGGAATGAGAGCACGTTGTGAACACTGTGTGTAAATGTCCTGATTTGTGGTTCATAGGATGTGGGACATCCTGAGGGTGTGCCCCCATAGGTCCGATCTGCAGCGTCTGTGGGGAACACATGGAAACAAGAGCAGGGATTGCTGGAGAGGCTTAAAAACAGGAAAGGATGAACCGTCAGCATCTGCTTTTATTTACACATCGTGGGAGGGTGCGAGGGACAGAGAAAGCTTTGTGAATCCATGTAAATGCACAGCCATGGCCGTTGCTTGCCTTGGGCTCCCATGGCTTGGGTTTGGCCAGGATCAACTCATTCCCATTGCCCAGAGCCATGCGTGCCCAGGAGGTGGCGATGCTCCTTTACACAAGGCCTGCAAGGAAATCTCTATTTTTTTTTTCTCCATAATTGATGGAGTGTTCATGATTTTGACCCGCTGAGTGGAATTTCTCCAGCCATGGACTTTGAGGTACCATTCCCCTGGAGTCTAGGCTGCCAAACAGCAGTACAGTTTTGCTCCCTGCTGTCACTGCCAGCAGAATTTCTCTTGCATAGCATCAGTCCAGTGTTAAATTGTCTAGTTAATTGCCTAAAAATAGCCTGGCCATTTCCCCTTCCAAAGACCAGCATTCCTTTTGAAGTGGCAGCTGTTCTCCTGCTTTGCTGAAATCTCCACCTGGTCTTGAATTAATTTCTCCCAGTCCTCAGAAATTCCTCCTCCAGAAGTTCTAAAGCTTTGCTGCAGGGAATGGACAATGAGCTGTGATTTTGGGGTCCCTGTGGGGAAGGGCACAGCTGTACCTTTTATCCTGTGTCTCTCCCCAGGAGTGTGAAAATAACCCAAAAACAGGGCTCTGGGTCGGGCAGGACACCCAGCACGGGGGGATGCAGTGGGATTGGACTGACTTGTGACGACTCCCAGCTCAATCAAGAAGGGAAAAAATTAAAAGATAAATAAAACTAAGAAAAATCACCACTGCACTTCACTTTCCCCATCAATAATATTTTAATTTTCCAGCCTGACATGCTGAGATCCATTGCCAGGCGTGAGCTGGATGCGTTTCAGCCAGCTCAGTGCCGGCGTCGCCAGGCTCTGCCATCAATCACCTCCTGCACGTGGAGAGCAGGGCAAGCACAGCTGTGACACCCCACTACAGCCCCACGTCCTCTGTGGGAGTGGGTGTGGGGCCCTCACAACTCGACGGGGACAAGGAAAGGTACGGAGCTGTGTCAAGGGAAGGACAGGCTGGGTGTTAGGAAAAGATGTTAGGGTGGTGAGCATGGCACAGTTCCCCAGGGCAGTGGGCACAGCCCTGAGCTGCAGGGGCACCCAAAACCATAGGGGTTGGGTGGAGGGGGTTGGACTTAGTGGTCCTACTGGAAAGGAGCACCGAATAGAAGTACCTGTAGGTCCTAGTTGACCAGTGGTTGACTAATGGTTGACCAATGTTGGTTGACCAATGGTTGACCAACAGCTGACTAAGTGGTTGGCTAATGGTTGACCAATGGTTGACCAACTCTTGACCAACAGTCAACCATAAGCCAGTCATGTGCCTCTGTGACCAAGAAGGCCAATGGTACCCTGAGGTGTGTTACAAAAAGCATGGCCAATGGGATGAGAGAGGTGCTCCTCTCTTGCACCCTGCCCTGGAGGGGCTCCATCTGGAGTGCTGCGCCCAGTGCTGGGTTCCCCAGTTCAAAGGAGACGGGGTGGGCTGCAGAGATGGTGGGGCCTGGATCATCGCCTGATGGGGAAAGGCTGAGAGCAGTGGGGCTGTTCGCCTGGATAAGAGAAGGCTGAGGGAGCAACAAAACGGTGCTGAGCGGGGAGGTTCCCATGCGCGGGATTCGCTTTTTGGCCCCGCGGAGCCACCGTACGCGCGAGTCACGTGACCGACGCAGCTGCCAGGAGCCGCCTAAAAGGGCGGAAGTGGGGGCGCGGGGTACGGCGGCATGGAGGGGACCCTGGAACAGCACCTGGAGGACACGTATGGGGGAGATGGGGACGCCGGGGCCGAGGGGGGCCGAGAGGAGGGTGGGAGGGAGAGAGAGCGAGCGAGCCGCGGCCTAGGGCGGGCCGGGGGTTGGGAGGGGCCGGGCGGAGTGCGGGGCTGACCGCCTCTCACTGCCTCTTCTCCCGCAGCATGAAGAGCCCGGCCGTGGTGGGCGTCCTCTGCACCGACTCACAGGGCCTCAACCTGGGATGTGAGTACCGGAACGCCGCCGGGCCGGGCCTGCGCTCGGGGATGGGCCTGGGGATTCCTACAGAGCCCCCAGGGACCCCCACGTTGCCCCCAGGGTCCTTCACATTGCCCTCAGGGACCCCCCGTGCCTCTGGTCGGTCCCACGGGTTACACCGCTGTCAGACACCGTGTTCAGGAGGTACTGGGTGGAGCCGGGAGTTTGACCTGGATAATCCTCGTGCCCCCCCTTCCAGCTTGGGATATTGCATGGTTCTAAACTCCAGCCTGCTTTTCCTATCGCTTTAAATGAGGTCTGGTTTTTTGTTTTTTTGTTTTTTTGTTTTGTTTTTGGTGGTGGTTTGAGGGCTGTAGTTTATACACCTATGGGCTGAGATGCCTTCCAGAGAGACCTGGGCAGGCTGAACAGTGGGCCCAGGAGAACCTCATGAGAGGTAACAAATCCAAGTAGCAGCTCTGCAGCTGGGTCGTGGCAAGCCCTGTTATCAGTACAAGGTGGGGGATGTAAGGATGAGCACAGCCCTGCTGATGAGGACCTGGGGGCAGTGGTGGGTGGCAGCTGGACACGAGCCAGTTGTGTGCCCTCACAGCCCAGAAAGTGACTAAAGGGGGGCTATGAGAAAGAAGGGGACAGGCTTTTTAGCTGTATCTGTGACAAGAGGAGTTGGTTTCAGATTAAAAGAAAGAAGATTCAGATTGGATATAAGGAAGAAGATTTTTACGATAAAAATCAGAAGTGAAGCACTGGCATAAGTTGCCCAGAGATGTGGGTGCCTGGTGACAGGTGTCCCTGTCCCTGGAAACGCTGGAAGTCAGGGGGATGGGGCTCTGAGCAGCTGATGGAGCTGTGGGTGTCCCTGTTCATTGAAGGGGGGTTGGACTGATGGCCTTTACATCTCCCAACTCGAATGATTCTTTGATCTGGGGATCACTACGTCAGCTCACAGCCCTGAGGAAACAGGGATGGGGAGCTGCCTCTCATCACAGTCTGCATGGGTTCAGCCCACATCTCCCCTCTTGCAGGCCGAGGAACGCTCTCAGATGAACATGCTGGAGTCATCTCTGTGCTCGCCCAGCAGGCAGCCAAGCTCACCTCCGACCCAACCGACACGCCTGTGGTGTGCCTGGAGTCAGATAGCGGGTGAGCATCCAGCCCAAGGGTGCTGCTCTTCCCTGTGCTCTCCTTTCCTCCCCACCCCAAATCTCCAGAGCAGCGCTGTGTCTTCTATTTAAGGAGGAAGCCCCATTGCTGAAGCTGTGCTGGGAGGGCGGTCACTGATGGGGGTATGGAAAGCAGTCAGATTCATGGGGCCTCTGGTTGTGGGAACTGCAGAAGCAGCTGGAAGCCTTTCAGGGGTTGGTGGTTGCTGCAGCACTGTATTTCTTTTGCTTTTGGGATCCATGTGCATTATTTAGCCCATGCTGCAGTGTCACTGTGGTTAGCAGGGCTTCTTCAGACCCCTTTGTGGGTATGGTGAAGAGCTCTAAGAACTGACAGGTCTGGCACAGAGCTGTCCATCTGGTTTCCCAGCCAAGTCAGCTCCTGCTTTCCCAGCTGGCTTCTCACCTGCCTCAGACAGCACTTTCCTTCTTCTAGGAATATCATGATCCAGAAGCATGACAGCATCACCGTAGCAGTGCACAAGCTGGCATCCTGACCCTGGCATCCTGCTGCTCCACTCTCTGCTCCAGACCAGCTCCTCCTCACTGGACAACGTCTGTCCTCGGCTGTTCCAATGCAGAACATGCTTCTAGTACCAAATCTGGGCTGAAGGCTCTCCCTCTCTACTTACCAGCTCCTATGCATCTATCAGGGTTTCCAGCTCACATTTTAGCAATCGTGCTGTTAAAGATGAAATGTGAGTCACTCACCAAGCTTGTGTAATGATAGATATTACAAGGTGTGTGTGTGTGTGCGTGCATGTGGCCTTATTTGTTGGAGAAATCAATAAATGACCTGTGAAAACCTCTGCTTCTCCTTGATCCCACTGCAAAAAATGTTGCCTGTTGCTTTCCCTGAAGCCCAATGAGGTGACTTCTCCCAGTCTGTTCTTCATTAGCATTGCTGTAGAGAAAGAGAGCACTGCACCAAGACTGGGAGGTTCCTCTGGTAGAAGAGGTGCAAATAGTTCACTAGGAATTTCTCCTAGGAAATGTTTAGCCTCCTCTAGTTATGCTTTCTGTGAGAGTCCTTGCATATTGTTATGCTTTGGATTGAAGTTCAAACCTAAGCTTGTTGGCCCTGCCTGTTCCTTGTGTGACCTGTAAGCATATGCTGAATACATCCTCACAGATCCTCTCTTCACGTTAGAGATTCAAGCACTTGGAATTGGGCAGGGGGTCATTCCCATAGAAAGGCTTTTCCCCTGTGTCTGTTTTGCTCAAATGCTTCCTCAACACAAGGGAGCAGGAAGGAGCTGGCTTGCAGTAGAGCATATGCCAACAACTAGGGCAGGGTTGGAGGTAAAACTGCATTCACAACACTTAGGCTTTACTGCTGCACTCATTGCTGACGTTCCCAATCTCACCATCACTGTTTTGTATGAAGCAGGCTCTGGTGAGGAGCACAGTGCTGGTGAGGTTGGTGCTAATGCCTCCTGCAGCAGCAGGGATGGGGCTCTGCTCTCCCTCCAGCCTGGCTGCTCTGGGAGGTGAGCACTGCTGCACAGTGCCCATTATTTACCTCCCCTTTCTTTTCTTTAGTGCTCAGTTTCCAAGCTCATCTCCTCAAAACAGCTTCAGATGCCCATTTTAAATAGCCCCGAAACCAACAGAGCCACAGGCTCCTCAAAAAGCAAAAGTTAAAGGGGTGTGAGCACAGAAGCGGGCACTCAGCTCTCCTTTAACGAGCCCTGGGACCACTGCCCTCATTAGCAGGGCTGCTGGGTACCTGGAACACAGGTTTGGCCTCAGATGCTCCCACCCTGCACCCTGGGCACCCCAAGCCCTCGTAGCACACGTTGCAAACGCTGTCCCACATAAATAAAAGCTCAATTCACGTGCTGAAAGCCGTAGGGGAAGATTCTCCACGCCGTCCTGTTTACCCCAGGATGATAATCCCCGTTTATTCCAGAGCTCTGCCCCAGGATCCCGCAGCAAGAGGGAGTAAAGCAGGGATGGGGACAGACAGCCACCCCAACCCCGCAGCATTGCCCCATTTCTGCACTGCTGCCCTGGTGGCGGCTCACCTCCTCCTCCTGGGGCCACAGGGCTGGGCTGGGCCAACAGCTTTGGCTTCCATCCATCAGCACCAGCAACCGGACACGGAGACTCGGTCGGATCCCTGCAGGCGGCTCCGTTTCCTCCAGGCAGGAATTCTGCTCTGCCATCGCCCCGGACGGGGAAGGGGAGGGACTCCCGGCCTGGAGCAGCAGGGAGGAGGAAGGCTCACAGCAGAAGTCCTGCCTCGGTTCTGTGTTGATCGTCATCTCTGCCAGAGACGGGACGCAGGGCCAGGCTGGGGGCAGAGGGTGGCAACCAGAGCGGGGGGGGGGGGGCTTCATTTCTGGAGCAAATGACGAGAAGATTCCTCTGTGCTTTCTGCAGCTTCGGGGAAGGTTTGGCAGCATGCAGCAGCAAGGCGGTAAGGAAGGGGTCGGGTTTGTTGGCTCCGCTGCTGCTGGACGTGTGGGACAGATAGATGATGGGTGGATGGGAAGAAAGTGTGCAGGGAAAGCCTCCCCAGGGGCTCAAAGATGGGGCAAACAGAGCCCCCGGCTTTTAGCACAAACCAACCCAACGCCGTGCTCTAAAGCAGCAGGGAAAGTGCTTAATTGTTGTGCCTTCAGCAACTTAGGAAGGAGAAAAGAAGCTGAGCTGCATGCAAGCAGTGATACTGTGAGAGCAAACAAAAAGATGGGTAGCATTTTCGGTCCTTAAAAACGTGCTGTAGAGGAGCACAACATGCTGCTCCCCATCTCCTCACAGAGAAGGACCAGAGGGGTTCTCCTGGGGGAAGCATCATAGATAACCACAACAGCATGGAGTTAATGTACCCCAAATTTCACTCCCAGGGGAAAGCAAAGAAGGAAAGCCAGAGCCACCAGCAGTGAAGGGAGATGGGAGCCAAGGCATGGACCGAAGGTGGGCATGGGCAGCGGTGCTGCACTTCTTCCTGGTAAGCAGAGCAGAAATTCACCCCACACCTTTGGAATTTTGGGGTATGTGGGAAGCTTCAGGATGGCCTGATCCCATCCAACTAACGGCAAAAATTTAGGGGAAGGCTCAGAGGCGGCGAATGCTTTGCCACAGGAGGACAGGCAGAGCAAAGAGCATGATGCTGCCTTCCATAGCTGGCAATGGTTAACCCCAGCCCTGGGCCAGGAGGCACCAGCTGGCCTTTGTCCTTTGGGAAGGGAGCAACCACTGAGACCCGCTCAGAAATTAATTCATCAGAGAGCAAAGCAAAGCTCTGATGTCATTTTGTTCTGCTGCTCTGGAAAAGCCAGTTTTGCACGGGGTCAAGTGAGGTTCAACCCCAAGACACAGGAACCTTACTGGTATTTCCCCAGCACTCCTTAACTTGTCCCAAAGGCAATTACCCAGAAGGAGGGAGCGCATCCATCCCCTGCAGCACCTCACCTGTCCTGCTCTGACACAGGTCAACGTGTTCGTGATGGGAATGCTGAAAACCTTTGGCATTTTCTTCGTGGCTTTCCAGGAGGATGTGGGGGGCTCCTCAGAGCAGGTCAGCTGGATCGGCTCCATCATGTCCTCACTGCGCTTCCTAGGAGGTGAGCACTGCACTGCAGGGGAGGGACCTGAGGGTGCTGCAGGTTCAGGTCCCTCACCTACAGCTGCTTTACATCACATCCATCAGCGCAGGCTGGGGCTGAGCTGCTGGAAAGGAGCTCTGCAGAGAAGGACCTGGAGGTCCTGATTGACCAACGGTTGGTCAACAGTTGACCACGAGCCCGCAGCGTGCCCATGAGGCCAGGGCCAATGGTTCCCTGGGGTACAACTGGCCAGCAGTGGGAGTGAGGTGCTTCTCCCCTGTGTTGTGCCCTGGAGAGGCTCCCATCTGCAGGGCTGCATGCAGTGCTGGGCTCCCCAGCTCCAGAGAACTGCTGGAAAAAGCCCAGCGCTGGGCTGCAGAGATGGTGGGGCCTGGAGCAACTCCTGATGTGGAAAAGCTCTGGGGCTGTTCACCAGGGGAAGAGAAGGCTGAGGGGGATCTGATCAGTATCCGAAGGGTGGGGGTCAGGGGGATCTGGGCTCTTTGGGCACCAAGCTCTGCCTCTTTTCCCATGCAGCCCCACTGGTGGCCGTGGTCTGCAGGCGGATCGGTGAGCGGCCGACCTCCATCCTCGGGGCTGGGCTGGTCAGTGGGGGCTGCCTGCTCAGCACACAGGCCACCAGTGTCCCCTTCCTTTGTGTCTCCATGGGACTCCTGCTGGGTGAGTGGCAGCTCCCTTAACCCAGGCTGTGTCCCCGCTGTCCCTGCCCCTTGGCCATCCTCAGCCCCTTTCTACAAGACGCTGCGTGAAACCCCAAATGTTCACACCCAGGAGCTCAAAATCCCACATCCAACACAAGCCAGACCAAACCAACCTTGCCTTCCTCCCTGCTTCCAACACACGTTGTGATCCCTCCCCTCTTTAACTCGTAGTAAAAGCGCCCAGTGTCAAAAACCCACACTGTGCATGAAATCCTATTCTCAGCCAGCAAGAAGAACCCTGCTCTCACCTCCATCATAGAGAGAATAAGCTCAGGATGGCCCAGCTTTGCCACTGACCCCTTGTGTTTGCTCCCAGGCATGGGGTTCTGCTGCCTATACCAGGCAGCAGCAGTGATGACGGCCAAGCGCTGCAGGACCCGGCTGGCTTTCTCCAATGCCATTGCACGCTCAGGGATGGGCCTCACCTTCCTGACTGCACCCTTCACGCAGCTGCTCATCGATACCTATGGCTGGCAGGGTGAGCACAACTCCTGCCCTGCATGCAGCTCAGTGGGAGGGCAGGAGGAGCGGCGTTGCCTCTCTGGGAGCATCCCTGCAGTGATGGGTTGGTGGTTGGGCTAAATAATCTTGGAGGTCTTTTCCAGCTGTAGTTATTCTATGTCATTAAATATGTCAGAGTCAACACAGAAAGCCCGACTTGTGCTCCATCACCTTGAAAGTCCAGCACTTCCAATGAATGCAAGCAAAGCTCTGAACTTGTTGCATGTGTTATAAAGGGATTTCCAGTTAGAAAAGCCCAAATAAAGGCTCCTGCACGACACTCCTACCTCCTTCTTCACGCTCACAACAAATCACATCCTTTCTTCCTTCTCCCCCGTTTTCTCCTAGCAAAATGCATTTTAAAAAAGCCCCTTTTGCCTCGCTGCAGGTACTCTCCTGGTTTTCAGTGGCATCATGCTGAACCTCGTGCCTTCCAGCATGCTGCTGCGCCCCGTCCCCACCCAGCTGCCTCCCTGCCCCCCAGCCAGCAATGAGGACGGGAGCTCAGTGCCCAAAGGAGAAGCAGGAGCCCTCGAGGAAGCCACTGATGGAGCAGCACAGCCATGCAGTGCTCAGGACCTTCCCAGCACAGAGCCCTGCAGCACTGGTGCAGTAACCACAGCAGCACCAGGGAAAGCCCCCACTGCCAGCTGCTGCCCTGAAACCATCAGCGAGGCCACGAAGAGCTGCAGCTCCCTCCCGGCATTCAAGGAGGAGAAACCACAGCCTCTCATTGACTTCTCCCCCCTAAAGGATCCCCTCTTCTTCATTTTCACCTGGTCCTTTTTGTTCAGCCACCTGGCCTACTTCGTGCCCACCATCCACCTGGTAGCCAGAGCCAGGACGTTGGGCATAAGCAGCATGGATGCCTCCTACTTCATCTCAGTGGCCGGTAGGCAAGAGAATCTTTTAACCACCTTTATAAATGCAAAATAGGCAAGCAATGCAACACACATCTTGCCAAAAACGCTCCCAAGATGTGTTCTAAAATAAATCCTCATGGAAGAGCCTGAGCTCACAGCCCTTACTCCCTTCTGTATATATAGCATTGCTTGCTGCACATGGATAGAGCTGCTCTCAGATGGTGGGTGGTTCTCTCAGCCACCCCTTCTGCAGGGAACAAATGCAGGTTTCAGGCTGCTAGGTGTGGGCCCTGTCCTCCCAGCTGTCCCTGCTCTACTCAGACCCACAAAAACCACAGAAATGCATTCTGCATTCAAAGACCTCCAGTCTGACCACAGAGTGTACAGAGAGGGGATATAAGAGGAAGGAAGGGAAGGAAGGGAAGGAAGGGAAGGAAGGGAAGGAAGGG